TATTACTATTAGTAACTATTTCATACATGTTCCACCCTTTTGGGGTCTGTGCCCCTATCTGGCAACCCCCAGCATAAAATCTTAAACCCGCCCTTCTCAAAGAGATACAGAAGAGGATTAGGGCCATTCAAAAAAATAAAAATAATGGTCTATTCAATTCTGACTTTTTTCTCAGAATTTTGACTTTAATTAAGAAAAAAAAGTCAGAATTGAATAGTTTTTTTTTTCTTTTGAATGGCCCTAATCCTCTTCCGTAAAGAGCGAACGGAATAATGGCGAAAAGAAAAGGTAAGAGAAAGATTGATTCAGAATGCAGGGCATTAAACCTGAATTGGACAAACGATAATTTTTTTTGTTCAATGTAAAGTCTGTCTCGTCTGTCAAGAGGCGTTAGCGGTATTCAAAGAATATAACCTGCGGAGACACTATGACTCACGTCATAAAGACATAAATCCCGTCACAAATTTAGGCACTCTTGCAATCGTCACAATTTTTCTGTTATAAACTGACCCCGGCCCCCCATCAGAGAAGGGAAAAGTTATGTGGCCCTCACAGGAAAAAGTTCGGGGACCCCTGTTTTAAGGTTTTTCCAATTGAGGGAATTGATTTCTTCAGCTTGAAATGTCTAGCAATTGTAAGTGTTAGATAGTTGAATATATGCCCAGAAGTAGAAGATTGGGCTCCAGTGGTTACTTCTTAAGTTTTATCTAATTAAACGCATTAATAATTTCTTGCTAGAAATTACCCAACCCCTAAAGCAGCCATACAATGTTCGTCTTGTTGTATGTTCGACTGTTGCTATTTCTCATGCCTGTTCTTTTAGACCTCATTGACTTCCTGTGCTTAAAGCACCAGCATGTTATCTGTAACTCCTTCTTCCTCCCCTTCTTCCATGAGGTACTCACTAATTCCTCTACCACTCTGCAGAGTCTCCCAGGAAACATCCCTTTTGCTGCCGCGTTTCACTATTAGGAGTGAAAAATCTGTCACCACGCTGTAAGTGTAAAGTTAGCGTAAGCCAGGAAGACAGGGGAAGCAATGACTGAAATGTTGATGATGTCATGGAAAAATCACTGAGAGGGTGTTTAGAATTTATTATGGTAGCCGTGCAGAGATGGTGAGGGACGGGGGCAGAGCTTACTTGTCCACTGTGTCCTTGCTTAGATGAAACGTGTGGATTTGCACGAGGCTGGAACACAACTCTCTGCCAAATGCTGCTTATCCCCAGCCTGGCAACTCTCACCTAAACTCATGTGGCTTGACTTAGAGCCACTTTTTTTGTTCCACTTCATCTGTGCTTTATGTTCTCTGAGGAGGTCCTGCCAGCCATGTTCCACTCAGGTGGTATAAAATAGATGACTGGCAAGCCTATGGTCAGCCTTGTGACCTGATCAGCATTACTCCTGCATAACATTCAGACAACAGCCAGCATGCTAAGACTTTAAAATAAATAGTTTCTAGGATGAAACAGTGTTTCTTTGTTTGGGAAGAAGGTTAAAAAATTTAATTTCCTTATTTCTTTTGCTGGTGGTAAAAGAAAACAGTAAATGCTTTCACTAGTGTCATTGGTTGCTGTTAGGGTTGTGTTCACTGTTTCCTCTCATTTTCACCAACATGTTGACTTTGCAACTCGGGGTGAAAACGTTTTAGACCTGGTTTACTCTAACATCAAAAATGGATTCAGAGCAGCCCCCCGCCCCCACCTCAGTTAATCAGATCATCTCTCGGTCATGTTTATCCTTGCATA